CTCTGTTTATCTGTTTATCTGTTTACCTCGTTTTATCTGTTTTGTAAATCCTGGCAATTTCGGGTACTAGTGGGTCATCTGGGTTCGGATCACATAGCAGCGAACAGATGGACAGCAAAACTGCAACGAGAAAACACGCACATACGCGATGAATCACAGAGAAACACGCACACATACATGTCCATGCATAGAAATCATAACAGCCCGCGGGCCCGATGCCTGCATTTTAAGGCTCGGGCCTGATAATTCTAATACTAGCAAGCCCGACGAGCACGTAGAAAATCCACCCCCAGCATGCAAAACCGTCCCCGGCACGCCAGCGAGGATGAAAGGTTACCGCAGTATCACTCACTATAGTAGACTGTAGTACTATACTAGTAGTCACTGAATATGTTCTTTGTATTACTGTAAATAGACCATTGTAAAAATTTCAACTGCAACGAGAAAACACGCACATGCATGTCCCAGGGGTAGAACTTATTTCGAAAATTTACAGGCCAGCAGGGCCTGTAGGTAAGAGATTTTACAGGCCCGCCAGGCAAATTACAGGCCCGCATCATTCCACGGATATGACTTTTATTTTTTTGTCTTTTATTTTTATTTTTTTGTCTTTACGACTTTTATGTTTTTTAAATAAGACTGAAATTTGACATTTTTACCGTATTCGGAACATACTTTACATAATCAGTGCTACTAAACCAACGCGACCGCACACTAAATGTAGCTTTTCGGGAGTGCAAGCCAGCGAAGGTAAAGGACATCACTCCTTCACGCTGACCTGTCACAGGCAAACCCACCTTTTGAGATAGTCAACGCGGGCGACCATTGCGAACGTAGTATGTCCAAGCAGATGCTTCCATTACTGTTAATGTTCGGATGATATATGCGTGTCGTGAAGGCCACCTATCGAACAGCAGACAAAAGAAACACATGTTAAAGTGATTACGTGACCGTAAATAGTAAAAGTTAAAAAAAATCGCTCGCGCGCGAAACGCAATTCAATTTCCTCAGCAGAGAAAAATCGCCAAAATTATATTCTATACGATTAGTAGATTACGACGCGACTGCTAAAAAGTAACGCGTTTATATAAATTACACGCGAAATACGCACAAAAGCACAACAAACAAGAGTACAGCGCTTTTAAACAACAATGACGCGGCGCTTATATTAGTGATAATAAATTAATAATAGTGACGTTACCTTAGGTCTCGCAATTAGTCTCCAAGTTAATTAGTCTCCATGTTAATTAGTCTCCAAGTTAATTAGTCTAAGCACGTACTGAACACTAACTAAGTTGATAATATGCTTCAGAACAGCAGACTACCTTCCTTTCTCCGCCAGCAGACTGGTCGCCCGTCTTACACTGCTGAAATTCAAACATTCCCTTCCCTCCAAGCTCTCGCGATGCCAGAGAAATCTACGACTAACCGCCGCCACTGTTCTATTGTTTGTCCCCGGCTCCCTGGCAGGTTGTAGTGAGAAATAACTTGACTTCTAATGCTGTGGGACAGCAGAGATGCCAACACATATTTGAAGCAATCTGTAGTTTCTGGCCATCAAATTAGTAGTACGTGACCCGAGTTTGATAGGGGGGTCCGGCATGCCCCCCGGAAAATGTTTTGATTCTGCGATGCAATTTCCTGCATTCTGAGGATCAAAAATGACAATAAATTGACAAAAAATGACCATAATTGAAAAAAAAAAAAAATTCTTTCGATCACAGTGAAATTCGTAGTTTGATACAAACTGGTCGCAGTGGTGCAAAAGAAATAGAAATTCGTATAAAATACGAATAAATCGTAGTGGTTGGCATCTCTGGGACAAGCTTAGTTACATGTTCTATCTGATGCTGCACTTGACCTATTCTCACCTGCGTCCTTCCCAGGTATAGGCACATCTGCCTCTAACCTCCCTATACTCATCCTTTGCAACGCTGCAATCCCTCTCGATACAGTTCTACATTTATCTCTCTCTCTCTCTCTCTCTCTCTCTCTCTCTCTCTCTCTCTCTCTCTCTCTCTCTCTCTCTCTCTCTCTATTCCCCTCACTGTATGTTGCTAGCTCTGGCTCTATCCCTCTCATTGTCACTCACTTGTATTTCTTTCCCTGTCACGATCATCTACTCCTTACCTCCCTCCCTACATCTCAATCCCCGTCTCTACTACATTCTTTTTATGACCACCTTCTCCTCTCTATGTCCCCTTTCTTCTCTCTATGTATTCCTTCTCTCTATGATATCCCTCTCCTATCTATGACTCTTCCCTCCTCCTCTCCGCTATTTCTTACTCTGCTTGACTTCCTTTTCTAATCTACAACCTATTCCTCCTCTTCTTCCTCTCTCTTCTTCCTCTCTGTCCCTGTGACTTCCTTTTCCAATCTACAACCCTTCCCCTCTCTCCAACCTCTTTCTTTCTAGGACTACAATCTTCTCGTCTCTACGACCTCCTCTCTACTACTACACCTCCTTCTCTCTACGACCTCCTCTTCTTTCTTTGACGTCCTCTTCTCTATTACCTATTTTTCTTTGGCTTCCTTCTCCGCTCTCCTTTCCTTTCTTTTTATGACTACAATCTTCTCTTCTCTACGACCTCCTCTCTACAACCTTCTCCTCTCTATGACTTCCTCTTCTGTCTACGCCATCCTCTACGACTTCTTTCTCATCTGTAAGACCTCCTCCTGTTCTCTACATGACATCTTTTTCTGTGACTTCCTTTTCCTCTCTATGACATATTCCTATTCTACAACCTCTTTCTTTCTATGACTACTCTCTCTTCTTCTCTACGATCTTTTCCTCTCTATGGCTTCCTCTTCTTTCTACGACTTCTTTCTCCTTTTTACGACCCCCTCCTCCTCTCTGTGAATTCCTTCTCCCTTCTACAACCTCCTCCTCCTCCACTCTACGACCTCCTTCTCTCTCTAAGACCTTCTCTCCCACGCATCCTACGTGTGGTGGCGCAACAGCCTTCCTCACTTCCCCTGAGATTGCCTACCCAGCGACGATGTCCTACCTTGGGAGGCTTGAATGGGTAATCCGTGGGGAAGTGAATCGTTAGAAAGAACACCCCGGTCTGGTACGCACTCTCGGGCTGAAAAAACACCACACGACTATAAACAGACTAAACGACTCTTGCCTTTGGAGGTTTGAACGGGTAGTCCGTGGGGAAGTGAATGGTAAGAAAGAACACTCCGCCTTCGTATCCACTTTCAGGCTGAAATCAACACAAAAGCGCGTGAAAACAACGCCAGACCTGCCAACCTGTGATTCATGAAAATAGTAAGGCTTTTCTTTTATTGCAGCAAGCGGCCATTTTGTTTGTATGTTATG